GCACCCGGCCGATGCAGAGAAAACGGCATTCGTTACTTCGGATGGCGTGTTCTGCTACATCGTCATGCCATTCGGATTAAAGAACGCAATGGCAACCTTCCAGAGGATGATCGGGATGCTGTTCAAAGATGTGCTGGGTGTCACAATGGAAGCCTACGTTGATGACATCCTGATCAAGAGCAAAAAGAAGGAAAACCATGTCCTGGACATAGAAAAGGTGTTCGGGATAATGCAAAAGGCGAATATGAGGCTGAATCCCAAGAAATGTGCGTTTGCTGTAAGAGGAGGCAAATTTTTGGGGTACATGATGAGCGAGAAGGGGATTGAGCCCAATCCAGAAAAGGTAAAGGCAATTGTGGACATGGAGGCTCCGAGGAATCTCAAGGAAGTACAAAGGTTGACCGGTCGGCTAGCAGCCCTGAGCAGATTCCTATCCAAACTGGCCGATCGAGCTATCCCATTTTTCCAAATCATGAAGAAAGCCAATCCTTTCGAGTGGAAGGCCGAATGCCAAACGGCCTTCGAGGATTTCAAGACATATCTGTCTTCCCCCTGGTCTTGACAAAACCCGAACCAGGGGAACATCTGTATATGTACCTTGCTGTGGCTGACTTGGCCGTAAGCACAGTACTGTTAAAAGAAGAAGATGACGTTCAACGGCCAATCTATTTTGTGAGCAAGGCGTTGAACGGCTCGGAAACCAGGTACACCTTGCTAGAGAAGAATGTACTGGCCCTGATAGCTGCCATTAAGCGTCTGGCCCCGTATTTCCAGACCCACCCGGTAACTATATATACTACCCAGCCATTAGCCACCATCTTGAGAAATCCTATGGCAAGTGGGCGCATTACCAAGCTGAGTCTCCTGATCGGGCAATACGAGGTAGATTTCAAACCCCGGCCTACTATCAAAGGGCAGGCCCTGGCAGATTTCATTGCAGAATGTAACGCCCGGCCCTCAGAAAAAGATTCAGAGATCAACGGGCTGGATAACTGGTGGGAAATGTATGTGGATGGAGCATCTAGTGCCAAAGGTTGTGGAGCCGAAGCTGTGATCACATCGCCCGAGGGGTTCAAAGCATATTATTCCATTCATTTTGATTTCAAGGTGACCAACAATGAGGCTGAACATGAGGCTCTCATTGTTGGCTTAAAGTATGCAAGGGCCCTGGGCGCCGATCGGTTAAAAGTCCGATCGGACAGTCAACTGGTGGTACATCAAGTGAACGGCACGGCTGAGGCCAAAGAAGAAAGGATGAAGGCCTACAAGGAAATGGTCGAGGAGCAGATACGTAAATTTGAACAGGTGGTGCTCGACCAGATATCCAGAATCGAAAATAATAAAGCAGATATCCTGTCCAAATTAGAGCATGCGGCGTTCGACGATCGGGCACAGGAGATCCCGGCTCATATCCAACGTTTTGCCCATCGGGAAGCAATCATGGTGCTCCAGATCGAGGCCATATCTTATGCCATCCCGAGCTGGGTCGTGGATATGACCGACTACCTAAAAGACGGAACCCTCCCACAAGATAAAAATCCTGCTTATCAAATAAAATGCATCCAGAGGAGGGCTTCCATGTTCGAATTGGTAGACGGGCAGTTGTACAAGAAGACATTTGGGGGGCCGTATCTGAAATGCCTCCCACCCGATCTAGCGGCAGCTGTAATGGAAGAGATTCATGAAGGTATCTGTTCCAGCCACCAAGGGCCCAAGACACTGGCCAGAAAAATCATCTTGCAAGGGTATTATTGGCCAACTATCCAACAGGACTGCTTCGCGCATACTAGGAAATGTAAGGTATGCCAATTATACGCACCGGTTCCCGGACGGCCTGCCACTTTCTACACTCCAATGACGGTGGCCCTTCCATTTGCAAGATGGGGAATAGACCTGTTAGGTCCTCTACCTACTGCACCCGGAAACAACAAGTACATCATTGTGGGGATAGATTACTTCCCCAAATGGGTAGAGGCCGAACCACTGGCCAGCATCACATATGTTAAATGCCAGAAGTTTGTCTGGAAAAATATCATTTGCCGGTTCGGAATCCCTGAACAGATTGTAACTGACAATGGAAGGTAGTTCGTGAGCCGGAATTTCGAAAACTACCTGGTCAAATGGGGGATCAAGCATTCCAGAGCGTCCGTCGCATACCCTCAGGCAAATGGCCAAGTAGAAAATATGAACCGAACCATCATGGATGGCATGAAGAAGAAGCTGGAAGAATACTCCTCATCGTGGCCTGACCAGTTGAATTACATTCTGTGGACTTACAGGACCACACCCCGAACGGCCACGGGAGAGACTCCATTTGCCCTTGCCTATGGTTTTCAAGCCAAAGTACCAACGGAGATCCTAGTTCCCACACACCGAACGGTGCATTACAGCCCAGAACAGAATGAAGATAACTTACGGGCCGAATTGCATTTCATAGAAGAAAGAAGGGATCTGGCAGCGGCACGAATGGAAGAGTATCACAGAACCACAAGAAGATACTTCGATAAGCAGGTTAAAGTTCGTTCAATCGAGGTAGGGGACCTGGTACTAAGAAAGAGAGAGAAAAGCAAACCGCTCGAAGGGGGCAAAATGGCACAAAATTGGGAAGGCCCCTACCAAGTATGTAAGAAGTATGCTTCAGGAACGTTTGGCCTACAAAATACCGAAGGCCGACCGGCAGGAACCTGGAATGTGGAGCATCTGAGGAGATTTTATCAGTAAAAACGGCTGTTGCCACCTCTAAAAAAAATTATAGAGAGGGAGACATAACTTCCACAAACTCAGCCCATGGTTAACTCGATCATTCCGGATAACCGAATGACGAACGGGTTAACAACATGGAAGGAAAATCAATTCTCAGTTTAGAGAGTTTTTGACCCTAGAATTACGAAAGAATAAAGGGATCAAAAACGACTTGAAGAATTGAGGCTCAGAAAATCGGTGCCCGTGGTTAACTCAATCATTCCGGATGACCGAATGACGAACGAGTTAATTCCATGGAAGGAAAATCAATTCTCAGTTTAGAGAGTTTTTGACCCTAGAATTATGTAAGAACAAAGGGATCAAAAACGACTTGAAGAATTGAGGCTCAGAAAATCGGTGCCCATGGTTAACTCAATCATTCCGGATGACCGAATGACGAACGGGTTAATTCCATGGAAGGAAAGTCATTCTCAGCCAACGACTGGGAGTTTGACGCTCAGATAGTCTCACCTCAGCGGTTAATATGAGAATCGATTCTGGAAAACCGAATGACGAACATATTAGCAGTTTGGAGGGAGCCATACATTTCAGCAAGAGTTTTGACCCTGTAATTACGCATTGATGAAGGGATCAAAATGGCCTGGAGTTCGAAGGACAGTGATTCTCACCTCAGCATGTTAACACGTAGAATCATTCTGGATGACCGAATGACGAACGGGTTAACAGCTTGGAGGGAGCTGAGTCGTCAACTTAGCCAAAGTCGACCCTGTAATTACGTACGGGCAAAGGGATCAAAACGGCTTGGAGATGGTGTCAAGACTGTAAGATATGGATTAACCGAGCGACGTTCGGATAAGGTACAGATTGTCGCCCGGGGAATCGGAACTATGGTTTTGAAAAATCTCACCTCAGTCATAAAACTTGACTTGGAAGCTAGTCGCCCTTTTAGCTATAAGTAAGAAATGACCCAACTTCGGTGATCTTGCTTACAGTTCGAAAAGGGTTACCTCAGACCCCTAATATGGATGATACGAGCCAGAGAAAACGGTTCAGAATGCATCGGAATTATGGGTTTGGAAGGGAGAGAGCCTCACCTCAGCTTGTTAACGCATGAAATCATTCAGGATGACCGAATGACGAACGGGTTAGCAGTTTGGAGGGAGCCCCTATCCCAGCCGAGAGTTTGACCCTGTGGTCACGATCAAAACGGCTTGGAGGAATTCACCTCAGCTAAGAGTTTTGAACCCGTGCGTCACGAACAGGAAAAGGGATCAAAACGGGTTCGGCAAGGTGTCAGAACAATTGTGAAGAGAGTCTCACCTCAGCTTGTTAACACGTGAAATCATTCCGGATGACCGAATGTCGAACGTGTTAACAGTTTGGAGGGAGCCCCTATCCCAGCTGAGAGTTTGACCCTGTGGTCACGATCAAAACGGCTTGGAGGAATTCACCTCAGCTAAGAGTTTTGAACCCGTGCGTCACGAACAGGAAAAGGGATCAAAACGGGTTCGGAAAAGGTGTCAGATATAAAGATACATGAGCCGAGTAAGGTTCGGCCACGTAGAGAAGATTGTGAACAAAAAATCTAAGAAAGAATAACAAATACGGCAGACAAAGGAAAAAAGTCCAGTTTATTCTTCGGCATTACTAGCCGGAATGTACAAAAAGAACGAATATACAAGAAAAGAAACAACAGATAAGGAAAGAAGGCTACACTACTGGAGGATCACCGTTCGGGGAGGATGTAGGCTGAGAGCTCCCTGCCTGCACTGCATCGTCAGACGCTGCTTTGGATCTTTTCTCCATGACGCGATCGTACGTATTCCCGAACAGGTCATCGAAGCCTAATTCATCAGGATCGAACGGCTTGGGGAAACGCTCTAAGATCAGTTCAAGATTCCTGTCCAGAAGCAGGTCCTGACTTTGCTTTATGGTTTTCTCGGTCAGGACATCCAAGAAAGATTTCCCTTCCGGCGTGCTGTCCAGGAGGTCGATCCCAGCCTTGATAAGATCTGAGCTCTCACGCAAAAATTGGCCAAGGTGAGGACCTAGGAATTGCCGGGCCGTGTTCTCCAGAGCGAGGTTCAGCGCCTTGCCCCGTTGGAAATCCACTACCGATTGCTGAGCAATCTGAGAGGTATTGACCGTGTAGGGTTCGGGCAGATGATCTCCGACAGCCTTATCAAATTTAATGCCAGCAGATTCAGCAGCCCGCACCTTGGCCCGGAGTTCTTTGAGCTCCCGGTCGCGATGACGGGACGTCTCCTGCATCTCGGCCAGGGCAGCTTTTGCCTTCTCACCCTCTTTGGCCTGCTCCTGGAGGTCGGTCGCTAACTTCCGAGCGGCGGAAAGAAGGACCTGGCCGTCATCCCGATCACTGGCCAGGGCTTTCATCTCCTTCTCAGCAGCAAGAAAGGCTTTGTGATAATACACGCCAGCCTGAAAACAAGGTTACAATGAAAGTCAGAAAAGGTAAAGCATGAATAATAGAAAGGTATGGGTCGGACTGAAATGTACCTTGAGTGCTTCCTGGTGACCTGCTTCGAAAAGGTCCGACCAGTGAGTCAAGTTAGTGAAGCTCGGGGGAACTTTGATCGCAGTATGACACCACATAGAAGATGGCATCAACCCGAACAAATACCTCCCTTCTGATATGGGCCCCATATTTGAGAACTCAACAAACATCCGATCATCGATCGGTGTGGCAGTAAGAACCGGAGTTTGTTTGTTGGCAGGCACTGATCTTTTGGGCTCAACCTCCGGCCCGGTCAAGTCAACCACATGGTCGATCGGGATCAGGTGATCGCCATCATTTCCTTTGCGCTTTTTGCGGGTTTGCTCCGCCGAATCACGATCGGCTATCATTGTAACACTTGAGATTTAATATAAACGGATTAATAGTACTACTCATACCAACAGAGGTGCATCTCCTTTTAAGGGAGCTCATCACCCAAGAACTCCAAAGTTAAGCGTGCTTGCACGGGAGTAGTCTTGGGATGGGTGACCCCCTGGGAAGTTTCTCAGGGCGCACATGAGTGAGGACAAAGTGTGCGTTAAAGGCTCGTGGTGGTTTGTGGGGACAATACTATTGGTCCGGAGTAACTACCTCGGGTCCGGTGGGGCCGGGGTGTTACAGGTGGTATCAGAGCAACCCCGCGACAGTGTGATGACCCGTTGGATATCGGGCGGGCACCTAGCGGGGGAAGATTCTGGGATATGATTTGATTGAGATTGGTTCAAGGACGCAACGAGGACGTTGCGATCCTAAGTGGGGGTGATTGTAACACTTGAGATTTAATATAAATGGATTAATAGTACTACTCATACCAACAGAGGTGCATCTCCTTTTAAGGGAGCTCATCACCCAAGAACTCCAAAGTTAAGCGTGCTTGCACGGGAGTAGTCTTGGGATGGGTGACCCCCTGGGAAGTTTCTCAGGGCGCGCATGAGTGAGGACAAAGTGTGCGTTAAAGGCTCGTGGTGGTTTGTGGGGACAGTACTATTGGTCCGGAGTAACTACCTCGGGTCCGGTGGGGCCGGGGTGTTACAATCATCTTCTCTTTCCCTTTAGCAGAAGAGATAGAACGCCGGACGGGTATGGGAGAAATCACACCTACAAGAAAGAGAGATAATAAATGAGAAGTTGAATTGTGAGAGTGAAGGATGATCGGGTTAAAACCCTACTATGCTTACCAATTCCAGCAGATAACATGCTCGAGGCAGTGACAAAGCTGCGAAGACTTCTGGTCCCTCCCATTCGCAAAGACTCAGCCTGGGAGCGTAGAACGGCATCCACCCTGGGCAGGGAATCCCGAACAGGATATGCGTTCCACCTGTCCGGGAATGGCAAAGAATCACCTACCCGAACGAACAAAAACCGCTCTTCCCAGTCAGCCTGCGGGGTAACGTTCTCTGTGAACAGCTGACGGTCAGAACGGGCTACCAGCTTCAAGTACCCGGTTGTCCAGTAGGGCTGATAGCAGTAATGATAAAGGAACAGATCGACGCTCGGGGTGATCCTCAACTCGTGGCACCGGATAATGAAGCCTGTCAGAGTACGGTTAGTGCTGGGCACGAACTGAGCGGGCAGTACAGCAACCCGGCGTAAGAACTCCACTATGAATGAGATGCGTTCCACCTGTCCGGGAATGGCAAAGAATCACCTACCCGAACGAACAAAAACCGCTCTTCCCAGTCAGCCTGCGGGGTAACGTTCTCTGTGAACAGCTGACGGTCAGAACGGGCTACCAGCTTCAAGTACCCGGTTGTCCAGTAGGGCTGATAGCAGTAATGATAAAGGAACAGATCGACGCTCGGGGTGATCCTCAACTCGTGGCACCGGATAATGAAGCCTGTCAGAGTACGGTAAGTGCTGGGCACGAACTGAGCGGGCAGTACAGCAACCCGGCGTAAGAACTCCACTATGAATGAGTGGAGAGGGAACCGAAGTCCAGCAATCAGAGCATCAAGGTGCACTAGCACGTACCCCGGTCTGTGCCTCATAGGGTGCCGAATGAATCCGGCATAGTATTCTCTTGGCGGGGGCAACAGCTGGCTAAGTTGTCGTTCAACATCTTCTGGGAGACGTTGTTTGTGTTTGCGTATGCGATTGAAATGTAGGGGAATGCGGGGTGGCCGCTCGGGCATCCCCTTGTTGTAAACCTGGAGGTCATCTCCCGACAGACATCCATCCTCCTGCGGCTGTTCGGTATGTTTGCTGACCTGAGTATTGGCGGGTTTGGGTGTTTGGGACGAAGAGCCTTCGGCCTGGTTACCAGCGGATGTTTTGCTTTTGCGGATCAAAGGCATCTCTTCAGATTCTGAGCTAGAGGAGTAGTACATAAAAACGCTGGAGGAAATTTGGGAACTCTAGAGAGAGAAGGCTTGGGAGTATGCAAAGGAATTCTAGAGAGAGAAAGCTCGAAAGAAAAATGAGAAAACAGCAGGAGAAATTTGGGGAAGCACCTCTCTATAAATAGGGAAAGTACCGCACAACTCCCTAATCCATGAGCAACACGTGGCATTTGGTGGTTACGATTAAATTGGGGCATTTATGTTTCATTTTTTGTGCACGTACCCCGGACGGGCTTACAGAGGATTAGCAAAAATCACAGGGGCTTGCTGTTTAGAAAAATGCTAAGTCCTAAATATCAACCTGAAGCCCGACCGGCCGACAGTATTATAAAAAGTTATCTGGAAGAAAAATGCTAAGGCCAAAATATCAACCTGAAGCCCGACAGGCCGACAGTATTATAAAAGGTTATCTGGAAGAAAAATGCTAAGGCCTAAATGTCAACCTGAAGCCCGACCGGCCAACAGTATTGTAAAAGGTCATCTGGAGGAAAATGGCTAAGTCCTAAAAATTGGTTTGAAGCCCGACCAGCTATCAATGTTATGAAGGAGCCCAGGCGCAAAGAAAACCGAGAAAACTGCTAAGTCCTAAAATTTGGTATGAAGCCCGAACGGCTGAGTACCGGGGGGAAGGGGTTTTTTCCTTTAAATTATCAGAACTGTCTAATGCCCGAACGGCGATCAACGGCATTAAGAATATTTGAGCAAGAAATAAGTTAGGAAATTGCTAAGTCCTAAAAACAGGCCAAATCCCGAATGACGAGTAAATCATGCATTAAAAACAGAAAAGACAGCACAGAAAGTTTCAGGCAAAAGAGGGATATATATTCATCGGTTCTACTGACCGGGAAGTACAAGCTATTTAGAGAAAAAGAAAATTACAACAAGTAATGAAAAAGTACATATGAATTATTGACTGGGGGCCATGTCATCTCCCTCTTCATCCTCATCCTCATCATCATCAGATGAGGGTTCAGGCTCTTTTCCCGCAGCTCGATCAGCTTCCCGTTGCTGGGCTCGCAGATAATTCTCGAACTGCGCCTGGATGATGTCATCTGTGGGGAGATCAGAGGCCTGAACCGGTCTCCCCAGTTGATTTTGAAGCTGAATGACGAAGGGAAGCAGCAAGACCTGGCCAATTTTGCCATAAAGATCGGAGACAATGGAGTCGTTCCATTTCTTGGCCTCCGGGTCCTTATCCAAGAGGGCCACCCCAGCCGATAGCCGACCGGCGCCTTTGGGGAAATCCTTCAAATACGCCCCAAAGGCGAACGGGATTTGGGCCCTTGCATGTTCATCCTTGATGATGGAGAATTCATCAGAGGATTTAAACATGTCCCGGACGGCGGACAGATCCACGTTCACTTCATAGGGACCGTCCGGGATACTGGATGGCAGTTCTTCGAATCTGACCCGTGCGGCCTCAGCGGCAAGGATCTTCGCCTGGGAAGCTGCGAGTTGGACCCGAAGGGTACCGACTTCAGCATCCAGCCTCTGCTTTTCCTCCGCAAAGGTTTTCCGTTCGGCCTCCAGAGAGGCGATGGCAGCAGCAGCATGTTGCTCAGCAGAAGACTGGGCAACAATCAGTTCCCGCTCTTTGGCCAGGCGGGCCTCCCGCATCTGAAGGGTGTACAAGCCAATCTACAGAATACCGTTCGAGAATTAGTGCTGGTTACAGAGAATAAAATAAAGACAAAGCACAAAAGACAATATACCTTCAGAGCAGTCAGGGCCAGACATTCTTCAGATTGCTCGACCGGCAACTGAGGAAGGGAAAAGTTGTTGAACCAGGAGGAGGTAGACCAGATCTGGCTCGCTGTAGATCCAGCCCTCTCTAAAACCTCATGAACAGGGTCGGATAGGGAGATCCGCTCGACCTGACCCGTAATGTGGTCGGTATGGGTCTCACCAGCATTCGAGGATTCCCCCCGAACGGAGTCGAAATGCTGGGAAAATTGGTGCAGTTGGTCAGAACCGAACCGATCATCAAGCAGCATGGCCTCTAGTTGATCCTGGTGGACCTGCTGAATTGGCTGAGGTTCTGGGAGCGGTTGGGAAGGGGCAGCCTCCTGAGCGGGAACAATGGTGGGAGTAGGTTGGGGGTTCTTCCGGGATTTTTTCCGCTTTCCGCCCCCACCGGCTGCGATGACTCTGCTATCATCCATGGGAAGATCTGGGTTGGGTGCTGAAAAAAGGCAAAGAACAATGTTAGTATCGAGCGGCCCTAGCGTGTGAGAAACTAGAAAAAAGAATAAAAGAACGTTTCTCGCACGGGAAGGACCGCCCGGACCAAGGCACTTGGTTTATCAAAACAAGTAAACCCAAGAGAACGGGCAGTACCTATCCCGGCTGTTATAAGTCGTTCGGGGGTCAGATAATTCATGATGTCCATGCATTTATCCTTCTCCACAGCAAGCACGTCCTTGTAGATTTCTTCAGTGAGGACAGGATCAGGGGTTTTGCGGGGAAAAGCATTCCACTTGCGGGAAATCAGACCGTCCGGGATGGACACGAAGAAAAACCGGTCTTTCCACCCTTTGATCGAAGTTGGGTTTCCTTTGAACAGGATGTGTCCCGTTCGGGCACTAGTGGCCAAATAGCCATGGGTTTGTTGGGGGGCTACTTTGAAAAACTGGTGCAAGAGTTCTAGGGTTGGTCGGGCGCCGACATCTTTGCAACGACAAATGAAACCCGCCATTGCTCGATAAGAGTTCGGCATAATCTGGGCCGGTACAATTTCGTAGAAATTGAAGAAAGAAATGAAGAAAGGGTGTAGCGGAAATCTAAGGCCGGCCCTAATTGAGTCAAAGTGGACTATGGTCATTCCGGGCCTATGACGCATTGGATGAAGCCCGGCTTGCAAACGGAAATCCACCGGGTCAGGGATAAGGGCCGGAATTTCGTCCCTATTGTGAGAGGTCAATTTTTGCCTCCTCTCCCTAATCAATTTTAGGTCAAGAGTATGGCGAGGAACATCGTTGGGACGTCCGGCCGC